GACGTGTTCAGGTAAAAAAAAACCGTCTTGCTACGACCACAAGGTTGATTCAGCCTCATTTCCTACGGGTTCCATTGATGCGAATGATTTCCCACCCAAGAAACGATAATTTGGGAAACAGAATCTTGCGAGCATGTGACACCGATTAATAAATTTTTTATCGCATCAAGCCTAGAATCTCAGATTTTCTATCCTCCACATCCTCATGATCTTAATTTCCTGAACCCCCGCTTACATTTCTATCTCACACATGCAATAAATCTCTACACTGAGTGGCTCTTGAGCGTTGTATTGCTACTTGAGGAGGAAAAAATGAATCCCCTTCTCATCAGCAAGTATTCACCTCAATGGATAGGAGTAGCAATGGTCGGGTGCATATTCAATCATTCATAATTCATTATCCTTTCATATCTTTGGGGTTTTAATAAATCCATGAGATGAGTAAGAAAAGAAATGACGAATTAAGAATTTTGCAAACAGATGGCCAAGATAGATAGATAGATAGATAGATAGATAGATAGATAATGAACACTGATAGATAGATAGATAGATAGATAGATAGATAGATAGATAGATAGATAGATAAAGCGAGAGAGATAAATAATGAACATTGTTATTAGATAGATAGATAGATAGATAGATAGATAGATAGATAGGGCAGACTGCGAGCGATAGGTAGATAGAGAGATTTTATTATTCGTAATAGACTGAATGTATGGAAACGTGTAACCACGAATATTTTGCTGTAAACGGACTCACTCATGCACACACACACACACACACACACATATGTATATATATATATATATATATATAAACCATAAATAGATATGACTATATATATATATATATATATTTTTTTATATATATATATATATATATATATATATATATATATATATATGAAGCCATATGTATTTGTATTATATCTACAGAAAATACATTTCTATTTAATTATGCGGTTGATTGGTGAAATACTAACTCTTCATTTCTATATAGTTATTTAAATCATGCATAATAACAATTTGTGTGCAAGCTTGCGTGTCTTCACTACACTTAGTTTTATATCAGTAAGTGATAGGAGAATATGTCGGCCGGGGATAATGGTTCGTCAGCCATTTCTGAACGTTTATGGATCCCAAGTTAAGTATCTTCGGCCAATTAAAATATTTAAGGCTCTGTCATTCTCTCTCATCCGAGTGATTTGTGGCAAGGCTCCGATAGCCAATTAAGCTGTGGTAAGAACACATGCTTTCATCTACTTTTCAGCTCGATTTAACTTCGCAATTAACATTGACTTTAAGTTCACTCACGTGATATCGACCATTAACCTCTTGATGATGGCAAAGATTAAGATCACTTCGCTGTTTTGTTTTGGTCTTCTTTACATGATGTTTTTTTTTTGGGGGGGTATTCTTTACTTATTGACCGCGTCTGTTATTAATATTATTAGGATTATTTGATATTTGATATCCTTTCCTAACTCTTAGATGTTTCGTCAGGGTGATGAAGGTCATATCTCAGTTCCTACCCGGAGCTCTCCTCATAATATGAGTTGTTTCAGGTAGCGTTCCTACCTGCACACGCCGAATGATGTCTACAAGACGTCTTCCGAGACAGAAGGATTCCTGGAAATATTCCCGGATGAATCAACCACAAAATGTAGAAATTGAACTGAACTTGTTATATTTTCCTAATTTGTCTTACCAGGCACCTTTGTATTTTCACCTGTTCCACCTTGACAATGTTCCTATCCCAAGGTATCGCAACGTTTGTCCGGATCCATTCATGGCTGCGCTTGTGCACAATGCGATGTCTGGGCGATTTCTCTCCAATCACTTGTCAGTCAAAATAATTTTATATTATTATTTTTACTTCAGGAGTAATTGATGGCTTACAAATGAGATCAAGTGACATTAAGTTTCCTCTTTTCTAGATGTTTTTCAGTAATGCTGTCGTTTGGATAGCTCCATCTGTTATCATTTTTTCGACTTCCTCCAGCCTTTTTTTTTTTTTGGGGGCTATCTCCAGTGTTTTAGGGATTACTGGAACGGCTGCAAATTACACGTTCCACAAATAGTCATCTTGGTAAGGTCATGATTTCATTTTAATTTACACTCTGATATGCCGTATCTCTGTCTCATTTTTTTCTCACTATTTTTACTCATTTCGCTCTCAAGTCAGATGCAAGCAATAATAATTTATTATTCCTTTTTCCAATAAGATCTTACTATCTGTTAATTAATGCCTGGCTGACGACTCACAACCAGCAGCCTTAGGTGTCTTGTATTTTTTTTTCTCTGACTCTAAGTACTCATCGCTTCCGGATTATTCTTACCATTCCGAAGATGTTTGCTTTCTGCAGCGGTTTCACTTGGCAATCAATGCCAATTTTCTTTATCTATACTTCTAGTCTATCAGCCATCGAACCAAGTGTATAAATAACAAGTGGTATGAATGCGACCTTCATTAACTTCGAAAACCTTGCGACTTCAAACTTCAATGTGTCATAAATGAATACTTTCCCTTCCTCCTTTTACCCAGCCCTTGTCTCAAAAGGACATTATTGATCAATGGTCGTTCCCTTGTTTTTCTATTTAATCTTTCACTAATTATACCGGTCGCTTGTGCTCCAGCTTATTATCTATTTATATTGATTAATTGATTGATTTTTTTAACGCCATATCAACACCTTATGGGTCATTTAACATCAAAATTTAATTTTCTGGAGAGCTTTGAAGTAAAATATAAGTTATTCTGCTTTCGCAAATGAATACATGGTAGATGATACTCAGCTTTTATACATATACATGTTTGTGCCGACATAATTACTAGAGGCGGTGATGGGTGTTTTATGTTGTCGTTTTGTTACATTTATATTTTGGAATACAATTTAATTTCTTTAATAGATTGTAGGATATTATATGGATTAATGTCATAAAAGAGTTCTTTTATGTTTGTTGTTTTGTAGTATTTTAAACGGATTTGGGTGAAGTTGCTAAAACGAGTTAGAAAATGCGTATTGTTGGTAATTTATAGAAAAATGTATTGCTGGTATTTATACTATAAAATATATTTTTATACTTTCATAGTATTTTGATTTTGTTTGGAGGTTCATAATTTGCCCATAGATGGAAACCTAACAGGTGCTACCACCCGGTGGACCTGGAAACAACAACAATTATAAGGTGGTTTTAGGGTCCATACAACCTCCAGTATCCCAATCAGGGTCCTTGCTGCCAAATATATTAGTAGTATATCGTCATCCCCATGACTTTTGTTTTTAAAAATTGTACAAAACCTTGCATGTTTCTGACTCAAATCCTACAAAACCGCGCATGTTTCTGACTCAAATCCTACAAAGCCTTCCATGTTTCTAACTCAAATATTACAAAGCCTTCCATGTTTCTGGCTCAAATCCTACAAAACCTTGCATGTTTCTGACTCAAATCCTACAAAACATTACATGTTTCTGACTCAAATCCTACAAAACCTTCCATGTTTCTGACTCAAATCCTACAAAAGAAGAAGAAGAGGAGGCGGAGGAGGAGGAGGAAGAAGAAGAAGAAGAAGAAGAACAACAACAACAACCACTTGTGTTAAAGTTTATTTATCGTAGAAATGATTCAAGACTTTCTAAGACTTCATTTTCCTATCACTTAGTTGTCTGTTTCATTCGAGAAAAACGTATTTAGAAATAATTTAAAAGCGGGACCCGGACAACAAAGAATGGATACATAGGCAGACACACTCAAAATAGACAAAACACAGAATGGAAAACACATACAACCACACACACACTGACACACAAGCAGACACACTCAAATACACAAAAGGCAGAATGGACACAGCTACACACACGCATGCACACAGACACAGTCATAGACACAAAACATAGAATTGGCACACATACACACACAAAAACAAGCAGGCACATTCATATGCTCAAAACACAAAATGGACACACATACACACACAAGCACAAATACAAACACAAACCTTCAGATGCACAAAACACATAATGGACGCACAAGCAGAAACATATACACAAGCGCAACACGCAATTACACACACACACACACACACATACACCCATACGGATAAAAGTCAGAATAGATAATTAAAATATCAAGAGTTTTAGGGAACTCGTGATACAACATTATACGCACCTGGCACCGCCCACACGCTCTTTTAAACATATATATATATATATATATATGTGAAAAGTGAATATAAATATAAATAAATATATATATATGTATAATTATTTATATATTATATGCGCGGTACTTATTAGAAAGCGCTCAATATCAGAGATAGAGCTAACATATTTGGTTGGATAGATGTGAGTTTGTGACCCTGGGTTTCACGCTTTAGCGATCGTCAGACAAACTGATTCTTCCACAATAACACCAATACACGCAATCTTCATAAACCCAAATTTTTTAAAACAGTAATCAGTTTGTCTGACGATCGCTAAAGCGTGAAACCCAGGGTCACAAACTCACATCTATCAACTTAAATATATATATATATATATATATATATATATATATATATATATATATATATATATATATAATAATAAAAAGGCTTAAGCACTAATATTCGATGGGCATAATTTATTCCATTGGAATCGTAAATACGATCCAATTCATCAGAAGTACAAATTCAAAAATTTTGAATTTGTAGGTCTGATGAATTGGATCGGAATATTAGTGTTTAAGCCTTTTTATTATATCCTTACTCAGTCCTGGACATTGAGTTCTACCTTGATTCTATCCTCTTGGAATTTTTTATTCAAAAAAATATACATGTATGTGTATGCACCTATGTATATATTCTTATGTATGTGTATATTTACCAATATTATATATATATATATATATATATATATATATATATATATATATATATATATATATATATATATATCCAATCACGCATAAAATTTTAGGCGTCAATTTCTGGTCTGTCTTCGTACGCTGCTGTGTGTATGTATGTCTCTCTCTCTCTCTCTCTCTCTCTCCCTCTCTCTCTCTGTGTCTTTATCTATCTATCTATCTATCAGTCTTTTTTTCATTATCTATCTATCTATCTATCAATCTATCTACCAGTTTTTTCTTTATCTCTCTATCTATCTATCTATCTATCTATCTATCTTTCTATCTATCTGCCTATCTATGTATCTATCTATCTATCTATTTATCACTCTTTTCTTTCTCTTTCTATCTATCTATCTATCTATCTACCCGTCTTTTCTTTATCTATCTATCTCTTTCTCTTGCTTTGCTGGCGCGTGCGTGTGTGAGTCTGAATCAATTGCGGGTCTTTTACGCCCACTGCTTCAAAAACCCTTCAAGATTTTATGGGCACAAGCCTTCGAGTTCTTTGAAGCATTTCGTTTTTATGATAACCGGTAAAGTTTCTTCTTCACGTATATTTTTTTCACTTTCTTTTTTGTTTTCGAACCTCTCTTTCTTTCCCCCTCTTTTTTTCTGTTCTCCTTCTCTTCCTCTACTCACTTTCACCACTCACTTCCTCCTCTTTCTTCTCCGTACGTCTCTTCCACTCTTTCCATCTTCTCTTTTCTTTCCTCTAACTACCCCTCTTTATTTCTTCTATCTCTCTCTCTCTCACGCTCTTCTCATTTCCACTCACTCACATATTTTTTTACTTTTCTTCTTATTCTCTCTTTCTTTTTTCTCTTCAACTTCCGCTAAACCTGTCTTTTAAAATTCTTTCTCTCTTTGATTTCTTTTCCGATGTTCCTTATTCCAGTCGTCTTTATTATTTTTAATCGATTAAACCCTTTGATTCTTCGATAGAATTCTTCGAATTATGAATGTTTTTTTTTCCATTTGTTGTTGTCTGAGATGATAGACATGTGTACTGACACATACGCATGATCAGAGAGACAAACAGCGAAATGGATTGTAATAGAGGGTCCACTGAAAGTCAAACTATTACATTTTTTAATAGCGTAAAGTCACGGTTAATATGAATGAATATATCAGAAACAGTAGAAAAATTGGATATTAGACTCATCTATTTCCCTGTCGAAATAACTTACATCATATCAGTCTGTCCATCTATCTATCCTTGCCTGTTTCTATTGTATGTTACTTCTCAGTCTATAACTATTTAACTTAAATACTAAAAATTCGATGTTTCTATTTGTTTAAATCCAGATGAAGTTCAAATTAAAGTTGAGTGACTTTCGTGCTGTGGACAGTTATCTAATTCAGTCACGCCCCACGTAATTTTCCACGTAGGTTCGATCCTTAAGCCTTTCAACCTTGAGTTCCTGAACAATTTTAACCCTTCTACCTGAGCTCCTGAGTCAAAATTCACAAATAATTGGTTTCATGGTAGATATGAAAATAGTTACAAGTGTTTACCCACTTGTAGTTGGGTATTAAGTCATTTTTCTCTACCACCGTTCAACCGGGAGCGGGCCATTTTTCTCTACCACCGTTCAACCGGGAGCGGGCCAATTTTCTCTACAACCGTTCAACCGGGAGCGGCCATTTTCTCTACCACCGTTCAACCGGGAGCGGGCCATTTTTCTCTACAACCGTTCAACCGGGAGCGGGCCATTTTTCTCTACAACCGTTCAACCGGGAGAGGGTCATTTTTCTCTACAACCGGTAAAGCGGCGGTCAGGGCTGAAAGGGTTAATATTTATTCATATTAAAAAATGTTCTTTCTAGGTGCCTCAACATAAAGTAATATTTAAGAAGCTTGTCTAACAGATCATCACTACCATATAAACAGTTTGATCCACACTGGGTGCCCCGCGTATGTGTTATTGTGCCAGACTAAATAAATAGCTATAATTGTTACCTTTCTTTATAATTTGTTGTATTATTGTAGGTGTCCCCCACCTTTGTCCATTTTTTTTTATTTTAATAATAAGGTAAACAGATGCTCACCTCTTAAGGCCTTCCATTAATAAATCTGGATCGTGTGCCTGAATAGTCTCCAACTGTCTTTAGAATACGTTCTTCGTGGTCAGGCGTACATATAAACGGATCACTGTCTTGCTCGATACATAGTTTACGGTTCTAAGATCCTTTCTCAACAACGTGGCGATAAACAGTAGCAAAGGTTGGGTGGCTTCGCTACACTCGTTCCGGAAGCGCAACATGATACAGCCGTGCATCCTCGCGTCCATTACCATCCGCACAGCCTTATGTAAAACTCATATCTGCTTTCTCACGATATGAATATCCTGCCATTGTTAAACTCAACACTACTTAGTTAACTCACTACTACAAACGTTAAATGTTGAAAACAGACTATCTATATATGTACACGAATGATAAATGTAACCTAATACAACGCCATCTACTGTAAACTTCCTTTAAATTCAACAACTCAAAAACGAAGAAATAACAAAGGACATATAGTGAATTACATGCAATTCTCTATATGCCCCATGTTATCTATGACTTAATGAAAAATTTGAAATCATTAGATTTAAAGACAAGGCCCATCTCTTAAATCGAAGGAATGAACTCACTGTTAATTGTAAACATAGCTATAAATTTAACTTTCTACAGAGGTAGTAATATTTTTGACGATAAGGAAATATTACTCTTAGTTTAGTATGTTCTTACTTTTATTATCTGATAATTCTCCTATCTGTGTACATATAGGTAGGTATAGGTATATTATGTGGTTTGTGTCTTCACATGTGTGTGTATTTTTATAGATAAATGTATATATGTGGATGTAAATTTTTATAAATATACATATATATATATATGTGTGTATTTGCATTTGCATGTACTTGTATGTGTGTATATCCTTATGTGTATGTGTGCGTAGGTGTATATATATATATATATATATATATATATATATATATATGTGTGTGTGTGTGTGTGTGTGTATAAGTGAATGTGTATGTTTGCGTATATGTATATATATATGAATGTATTTGTATTTGTAGTTATATGTGTATTTATATATGTTTGTATTGATGGCTGTTACATATGTGCTTGTTTATATATTTATGTGCTTTGAATGTATGGGTGCGTAAGCGTATGTACGTATGTGAACGTACGTTCATATATATATGTGTGTGTGTGTTTGTGTGTATATCTTTGCCTATATATCTGTATATGTGTATATCTTCGTGTTTTCGAATGTATTATATATGGTAACTATAATCTACTTTTGTTTGAGAGTTGTTTTAAAATTGTTTGTGGACTTAATAATCAACAGTTGTGTTTTGTTACATATTAATCTTGTATGGACTTTATAGTCCTTTATTGTCATTTGGATAATATTGTTAGTATATGTGTATGTGTCTATATATATATATATATATATATATATATATTGAACAATAAAAAAATATTAAAAAATTAAAATCTTCAGACACACTGGGTTGTAGATTAATATTCTTTCGTTTTTTTTTTTTATTTTATTTCATTTTGATTCCTAGACTAGTTTCGGTCAAAATTGCCATCATCGGGAGGAGAAATATTTCTGCTTGCAGGTAGCAGTAAACTACAGAAATGAATGTCTTGATGGAGAAAATGAACTTTTGTCTGTAGTTTTCATTTGTTTTTTATTTTTTTATCTTTTTCACATGAATCTTTTAACATTCCTTGTGTTGGTCAAACAGTCTCATTTTAGTTGTTATTTGAGATAAGAGATGGATAGATCTATGCTTCTCTGAATTCCTTTGGTCAGTTTGACAGTTTTATTGGTCCTGGAGAGGGGATGTGTCTCTGTTTAGTGGTTGTGTGTGTGTTATTTGGTTCTTAGGGAGTGAGTGAGTATGATATGTGTAAGCGTGTGTATTGCCGTAGGTGTGTGTTATCATTTGGCCCATTAGGGAGTGAGTGACTATGATGTGTGTAAGTGTGTATATTCGTGTGGGTGTGTGTATAAGTGTGAGGCCTCCACACCTCCGTAAGCATGTCTGTCTTGTGTGGGTGAGAAATGTGGGTAGGTTTTGATTTGTTGAGTTATATATAATGTAACTCTTAAAATAAAATAAAATCTCTCTCTCTCTCTCTCTCTCTATATATATATATATATATATATATATATATATATATATATATATATATATATATATAGTTTTATTTTATCTTAAGAGTTACATTTTGCCTGAACATTTGAATTTGGTGTTCTTTAAGTGTGTGTATGTGTATATATTTATTTTTCTATATATTTTAGTGTCTTTTTTCTTTACGTTGTTCATTGACGAATATTTGTTTTCCTATTCTACCTTTATTAAATTTTATCTATTGAACCAATTTTATCTATATATCTTTGCCGACGTAAGTTATATTTTAATAGTCTGTTTGAATTCGTTTACTAACACTTTCAAATTTGAATATTTCTTGGTGTGTATATGTGTGTGTCTTTATTTATGCATGTGTGTGTCTTTATTTATGCATGTATGTATGTGTGTGTCTGTATTTATGCATGTATGTATGTGTGTGTCTTTATTTATGCATGTGTGTATGATCGCTTTAAAGTATTAATTATTATAACCAAGGTTCGTTGTCAAGGTTTTTTTAATTCTCATACACTTGTATTTTGATTGGTCATTGCAACTTATGTAACAGCGTTTCCCCTTAGCGATGGGTGTTTGATAGATTTGAACCTTTTAAAACCCTTTATTCTACATTCAACACCATCACTTGATAAGACATCAGAAGTGTTGAAACAAAATGCCTATTTTTATAGTGATTTTATAACATATTTATGTTATAATTTTCGAATAAATTATATTTGCTGTACTATGTTGAGCACTCTTTTTTAAGAAAAGTAATTTTGGTTATTGGAACTTATTCCGTATACACCAATCCTATACTTGGATATATATATATATATATATATATATATATATATATATATATATATATATATATTGAACAATAAGAAAATAAAAAAATTAAAATCTTTAGACACACTGGGTTGTAGATTAATATTCTTTCGTTTTTTATTATTATTCCATTTAGATCCCTCGACTAGTTTCGACCGAAATGGCCATCATCGGGAGGAGAAATATTTTCTTGCTTGCTGGTAGCACTAAACTACAGAAATGAATGTCTTTTGCTGGAGAAAATGAACTTTTGTCTGTAGTTTTTCATTTATTTTTTTATTTTTATTTTATTTTTTTCTTTTTAACATGAATCTTTTAACATTCCTTGTGTTGGTCAAACAGTCTCTTTTAAGTTGTTATTTGAGATAAGAGCTGGATAGATACATGTTACTCTCAATTCTCTGGTCAGTTTGACAGTTTTATTGGACCTGGTGAGAGGATGTGTC